CCTGCCTGCCCTGCCTGCCCCCCATACCCCCTGCCTGCCTCCCTGGCCCCCCATCCCCCTCCTGCATGTGAAGATCTCTGCTCCTCAGCTGCCTCTTCATCCCTTTTCTCCCACCTGAGGAGCTTTTCTCTCACCCCAGGGGTGTGTGTGTGGGGGGGCTTTGTGCTTTGGGTCTGGGGGCTCAGCAGCAGGGGCTGAGGTGCCATGACCCCCCCTCCCTTCCCCTTTGTCCCCACAGTTGTCCCTGAAATGCCGAGCACCAGAGGTGTCCCAGTACATCTACCAAGCCTATGAAACCATCCTGAAGAACTAAGGTGCTGCTGCAGCCCATCCTCTTCCTCCTCCTCTCCTCCCAGGACCCATGTGCATGTCTCCTCTTCTTCCTGCCAAGGATCCTTGAACATCTCCCTCCAACCCTGGGATCTTGGGAATGGACCCACTGCTCCCATTCCCAAGATCCCGGGGCTGGACTGGAGGGAGGAGGTCCCTGCACCCCTGTAGAGACCCATGTGTGGGTGATTCCATCTCCTCCTTGCTGGTGTTGCCCAGTTTCACCCTCTGGATCCCACCTTTATTCACCTGCCAGCCCTTGGGGGGCAGGGGGGGGGGCTGCTCTTCTCCTCCCTTCCCTTCAAAAATCCCCCTCCCCACATCTGGGCTCTCCCATCTGCCCAGGGTGGTCCTGGAGACCTCAGTGCTCCTCAGCCCTGGTTCCTCCAAGCTTGTTGGGTGCCCCTTGGAGCACTGGGCTGGGGTGGCTTTTGCTGCAGATCCCACCTGGGACACCTGGGAGCAGGTGGGAAATGGTTTGGGCTTGTTTTTTGGTCTCTTCCAGCAGCTCCTGAGCTGTCCCTGCTCCAGGATGGTCCTTCCCTCCTCCAGGAACCCCATCCTCTCCAGAAAAGCTCTCCCCTCCATGAGCTTCATTTCCAGAGGGCTCCAAGATCTCCAATTGGAGCCTGTTGACCCCCCCCCCCCCCCCCAAAAAAAGGGGTTTTCCCTTTTCCCTGCCCCCCCCAA